AAAAAAAAAAAAAAAAACCGATAATATATTACCCTAAAAGGCCCTACAGGACAAGGGACTAGTTGACATGATTGCACATTTGCACCAAATGCAGTCTATTCTAAATTTAAAACAGAACATCTAATGCCATATATAAATATATATCCTAGTTACAAGCAACTAGTAACAACAAAAACTATATAGCTTTGCCAACTTCAGGAGTTGGTTACAGAATCAAAATTACTCCATAGCAGTTACTTATTTGTATTCAAGTAACATCACTATTTCTTCACAGCTTTCCCCTTGATTGCAGCATGAGCAAGAGTATGAACCCTGTCCTCGTCGTCCTTGATAACAAGTCGGTTCCTCATGTTAAGCCTCTTAGCACCTATAGATGTGACTGAATCTGGTAGCACTAACTTATCATCTTCGGAACCTTTACATTTTGAAGAAGTGAGAGCTTTGAAGTTAGGTTTACAACTGGGAGAAGTTGGGAAAGATGGAAGATTCACAACTGGGATGACAGTTGGAGATAAGAAAGTAAGTATATCGCGCTTTGGCTTTATATCCACCCATTTGTTATCAACCCAATCTCTTGAAGTCCTTGTCTTTTTCCTTGGGATAGTCATAAACTTGTTCTCACCTACAAGAAAGTAGAAGCTAAATCAGAACCTCTCGAGGCCGAGGCATGAATAACCCAACGTTGAACTACCTCTTGTAAAAGTTCAAGCTTTAAGTATAGAGAGGACAAATATTTAAACGTTGTCTTCAACATGCCCCTTCACGTGCAGGTTGGTTCCATTTCTCATCAATGGCCAGAAACATGCACAATTGTTCAAAAATAGGTGGCGGAGAGACTTGAACCTGGGACTTTTGCATACCATGTTGCACCACATCATTTAAAAGCTTAAGCTTTCAGAAATAGGGCAAATTTATTCATTTAAATATTACGTTCAGCGCCCAAAACGAGTGCAGTTGAAAGATAAACTTTGTAGGAAGAATGTTCCCGTCCTTTAATTTATCAAGCAGTCATTATTAAGCGGTTCAAATGATGGTATACAACTTATAGCACGACAAGTTTGGGATTATGACTATTACCAGTCAGAGATAAGTTACTGGTGGTTATAAATCAAGTCTATAAGAGTTGTAAGAATGATAGAAAAAACCACATTTTGCCAACTATGATACTTACCAGGGAAGTAAACTTGAAGATTATCTGGTTGAATGGTGTCGCATCCAATCACAACACCTTCCCACCAACCATCACTCCACCATGCATCGACTGCTGCTCCGACCACAAAATAACTACCTGAAGAATCCTCCTCAGAAGGCCAAGGACGGACAGTAAGGCGGCCTTCACATCTCATGCCCAAGCTATCAGGAGCTGCCACTCTAGATGCCGGATACCATTCCTGTATACAAAATGCAAATGAATGAACAAATAATTTCGTAAATAGGTCAATAAAAGTGTCTTCCCCGACAAAATTTTGCGCGATGGTTTCCCTGCAAGTCTTGATCCTTAAAGTAGTACAAGAGATGTAAAAATAATAATGAAGGATAATTTTCATCCTCCAAATACACAAAATAAAAGCAATAACTTAATGAATTCACATACTTCCAGTTTTGCAGGTCCATCAACATCAAGGACATCGTAGTATAGAACCTTCATACATTTTTCTAGTGACTGCAAGATCTTACACCTAAACCAGCAGCCTCGCATGCCGCTATCCTGACAAAGAAGCTCTATATTTGCATTCACCTTAGATTGCACTTGAAGTTGGGCTTCAGGCTCGACAAGATCAATACAAATAGGTTCCTTACTCGACATTTTGATTTTCAATCTCGGGATAGGAGGCCAACACTTTGCTGCCTCTTCACTTAGTTTATGTCCCTCATTTCTTGTCCGGGAGAAACTGGAATCCAGATGGGATAGGATTGGTTGATTGTAGTAACCACGTAATTTACTTACAGAGAAGGGCTTGACCTTGTCGTTTTTGAATTCTTTATGGCACATAAAAATTCCCAACGGAAAGACTTGCATGAAATGAGCCAAACATTTTTGGAAATGATTAGGAGTCAAAACTGCAGCTAGACTGTCAACACACTCTACACTGATCTCCTGCTTATGAGGAGTGATGAAAACTTCTCTAGGATGTGCATTTACGTGAGGAATCATATCGATGATTTCCTCCTCAAATTGAAACCACTGCACATTAACTATTTTCTTGCCATGTTTATCCTCATATAAGTCTTCCAGATAACCAAGATAGCGACTTCCTTCTTCTCCCATTATCAATACAAAGGATAAAACCTGAAGATCAAGGTAAGAGTTTTGAAAGCTGTTACAAAGTATGTCAAGAACATGTTTGGCTAAGCTTACAAACTTGTAGAGTTACTTTAGAGCCAATTTTTGTCTCCAAACATGTACAGATAACTTGTTGTTTTCTTTAAGAGTTAAAATAAAAAGTTTATTTTGTGAAAAACTGAAAATAGCCCTCAACCTTCAAATAGTTAATTACTCATTTTCAATTTTGATCAATAAAAAATTTATTATTTTCCAAACTAACTTATTTACTATTTTAAGTAAACTTTATAAGGTTAGCCAAACATGTCGCAAATACAAGAAGCATTTTGAGGCTTACAGCTATCTCAGTTCCATTCCTGCAAAAACCTGGATAATGCTTAAGCTGTTTACTGCAGATCCAAGCATCACCTTTCCACTCGGTATTTGGATTTCGGACATTCAATTTTCTTGAGACTTGGATCTGAATCGAAGGTCCTTTATTAGTAATATGAAGTTAATGCACAGTTAAGCACAAAAATATCATAAAAATGGACCAATAATTAAATATCAAGAGTCACCACTTCATCTCCCTGGCGGCTCGAACGATTAGAGAAACTAGCCATCGCGATTCCACTGGATACCAGAGATTGTTTCGAGCAAAGTGTTTGTGGATCTGCCAGGGAACACAAGGAAAAAAGGCTTAAAATTGTTTGCAAAAATTTCTCTAAAGCAAAATTAAGGCATCTGTTGCAAGGAAAATTCAAGACCTATATAATTCAATCACTAATAGCTTCCTTTCACTGATCAGTGGCTTTGGTGATTTTTGCATAAGAAGCTCTATAAAAATACAGAATGCACTTCTAGAACTGGTCGAAATCTGGTAGAGAGTACATCCACAGATGAGATTACTTCTGGCTCTAAAGATGACTGTGATGGCTCCGAGTTATAACGCTCAAATCTGGGGCCCACTGATTTTGGGAAAGGTATCTGCAGTCTTTCGCGTTATTAATGAAATGAAATCGCTCCGTGTCAATTGAATGAAGAAGGGACAATATTTTTGACCGAGACTCTCATGGGAGTTACACTTTGCCAAGGTATTTCGAGGATGAAATTGGCACTCAGATTACAGGTTTGGTGACTTACTAATTTTAAAACAAATTTATTCATCAAAGCTTGATTAGGAATTGAAAGAATTTGAATTGTAAAGAAAGTCTTGATTCAGGCTCTCTTATAATTTTCCATGATAAAAGTACATTATTTCAAGGTGTTGAGAACTAATCAGTTATTAGCAGATATGTAACAAAGACAATCTTCTCAATTTTAAACTTTTCATAACATCCTTAAGTTTGACACACACACACACACAGAGATTGTGTGCGCGTGTGAGCCTGCGCGTTAAACTTATTGAGGTCCACAAGAAAGCCTGGCAAACTAACCTTCTAATAAATAAGCGACATCGGTAAGCATGTAAATTAAAATAAAAGCACTTCCTTTTAAGTAAGACAGTAACTAAATAAATGATCTAGAAAAGAAGAGTTCCATGATCGTGATGGCAATCAGTAGTGAGGTTACTGGAAATAGGGTGACAAGCATCAACCTGAACTGAGACATTAAAATTGTGAAACTAATTTATGACTTTAGCACAGGATAGTAACATGGAATGGTACACAAATATAACTCACATAACTACCTTGAAGAAATGGGCAAGGAGTAGCTGAACTGTGTCAAGTAGGTTTGTATTGAAAACTGTTAGTTCGTCCCGAACTATCGGTGGGTATAAAAATGTGGAAGTGTTAAAATAAGAATTTAAGGGTTGGCTCTTAAATAGAACTTATATCTAGTGGAAACAACTTTTCTTTACTTTCTGATCAAAAGAGTTAAAAAACAAAATCTATCAAATTTCCAAACAACCACATTACGACTCTAACACAAATGGAAATTAAAAAATAAAACAATTACTGTAATTCTAATGAAAGCTCCATTTTCTTTTCTTTTCTCATTCTCAGGTTCATTTAAGATCAATAATTACAAATCAACCTTCAATTCGAGAAGATGGGATCGATAGACCTTCAACACTTACTTGAAAGACATCATTTTATCACACTAGTTTAAAAGGCTGCATTAAGCTAATGGCCTATAACAAGTGTGAGCAGTTCAAAGAATGGAGATAGTAGAACAAGTGCCATAAGCTTAATCGGGGAAAAAAAACAGATTACTCCTGTGCAATCAGCTTTATCACTGGAGGTAACCAAGCGCCCTATACTTTATTGCGGTTCGGAAAATGTCACCAACTGCTTGTTAAGAACTTAAAAAAGAGTCAAGAATTTACTAACAGAATTTAAATTCAATATGCATATGTCGTTAGAGATAATAAGTCTGTGGAATAAAACCCTACGTACCTGGAGTAGTCGAGATTGGTTGGCCTCTTGAGACTATTGATGTGAGCCATTCCACAACATCTCGTCTCGCTCGCCATTTTGCGCCAGCACGGACTGTTCTTGTGCACCCGTAATAGATTACAAAGTCCTCTGAAACAACATAGATCATGTGCCTTAAGCTCTTTTCAGTCCCCACAACGGCAATGACTGAATTCCCATTGGATTCATTCAAATAGTAGTGAACAACTCGGTTGCCCTTTTCTTTAGAAATAATACGCTCTTCCCATGCCACGAACACGTGATTATTTGCTGACATCCTGATGAAACTGAAAAAAATAAAAGAGCAAATGTCATAAACAAAAAGTGCAATGTTCCAACGACCCATTCATGAAATTGCACAATGAATGTCATCATCCAGAAATATAAATAACTTGTACTCCAATTTGGTGAACCCCAAAATTCGACAGAACACTAGTATGATTATAGCTTCAGACAAAATCGACAAAAAATTAATGAAGGAACAATGCCAGGATAAACAAAAGATTAAAAAGACAAAAGACAAAAAAACGAAAAAACAATTCTGATTTCTGAATGAAATTTATGAAAAAACAGGACATAAAAAGGGATTTTTACCCAATGGCGTAGATAAAAAAAGGTTCCAGAAATTCAAAAAGAAACACAAGTCAAATTCGAAAAACAAGAAACGCAAGGCACTCAAAGCCCAAAATGAAGCCAACATAAGAGCTTTAACCAAGTTGAAAGCCATCCACATTCAATGGCTCAACAAGCATTCACAACGCAAAAAGAACAATGATCACACCAAGAAAAATTCTCACACACCTCAACATATGCTTTAGCAACACCATAAACGAAACAAGCCCTAGAGTCACATAGTAAATATACATATAAAACAAGTGTTAGGAGCTGACCAGAGAAAAACAGAGAACCAGGTCGCGGGTTCAGTTATGTCCCGTGAAAGACACGGGCCTGAGTAGGATATCAGGTGGTAGCTGTTGTTGGACTGTCAAGGCTTAAATAAAGTGAGAATTGAGTACATATTTAGCAAAGAGAAGGCGAGCATAGGCAGAGCCAAGTGCCATGAAAACACTGTTTGGTTGCAGAATTTTGCGACACATTGATTTTCCTCGGTACCCGAATGAGGTACACCATGTTTGGGCTAAGCTTAAAAAGCATAACTAAGTTTATTATAAGTCAATAAGTATGTTTAATGTAAATAGAGTCTACGAAATAAGTAACATTTTTATTTTAGTACACTACCAAAAAAAGTTGTCTCTATGCTTGGAAATAAGAGTTTTTAAGAATATTTTTGGAGTTTCATTGTTCCAAACAAGTTTGGATAAGCGTGAAATTATAATTTTTCATTTTAATTGTAAGTGAAAACACACAAATACTTTTTATAAAGGAAAATTAATAAGTAAAGTTTTTAAGTTTTTCCAAACATAACGTCTAGGCCTGGTGTGGAGAAAAGGGACTGACCGGGAAAAAACACAGTACTGAGAGTCTGAGGCAAAGTTAAGGAATTAATATTTTTATTTTCGTTTTTGTAATCCCATCTTTTCTTCCTTTTATCCGACCGGCGGTACGGTAAAAAGAATTGTACTTGTCCCAGGTTTTCATAATTATATATATTTAGTCCTGATTGAGCCATATTAAAATTTTTAATTCTCGTTCTTTTACTCATTTTTAATCACATATTTTTTAATAAAATAATATTTTTCATCACATCAATAATTTTTCCTTCTTTTTTAACTACACATTCTCCATCAATCTACTATTCTAAAATATATTCTTCCAAAATAACGTGGTTCAAACACACCCTGAATTAAGCTAACTGTAACACCAAATTTGACATCTTTTTATATGAAAGAAATCTAAACAGTGATGAAATGAATGCATTTAAAATCAATGATGTACATTGCTGTCACATGAAAGAGTGTCAAACTTGTTGTCAACCATGATGTATTGCCCTTATTTGATTTTCATTATTTTTAAAATACATTTTTCTCTTTGTTTTTTCAAACACACTTTCTTCATAATAATATTACACTCAAATTCAATTTTTTTCTTTATTTATTAATAACACATTTTCCATCAATCTACTTATACAAAATACATTATTAACCAAACATGAAAATCAAACGGACGCATTTTTTAATGTTTACGTCGATGAGGCATTAGCTATAGACTTGTTATCTGTCCCACCAGGGGCGGACTCACATGGGGTCATGTGGGGTCAAATGACCCCACAAATAATTTGAATTTTTTTTTGTAATCAGAATTTGTGAGAGAAAGAGTGCATGGAGAGAAATAGTCTATTAAGTTAGAATATTATATTATTTAATCAATTAAGTGGTGTGTGTAAAAATTATATAAATTCAAATTTTGTTCAACAATTTGGTCTTATAGACTATGTCATTTGTCATAATATTGTTTTATATTTTTACCATCATTAAATTTATGGTCGAATTTTATTTGAGATTGAATATTTCATTTTGTTTATTCGTTTATTGAGTTTTAAGCTCATAGATTAGCTAGTTAAGAAAAATATGAATACATATTGCATATTTTAATTTAATGGCTCAAATTTAATGGACGTATCAAACCCCCAAAAACTCCAACCTCGATTAAATTTCATCTACATTGAACATTATTACTGGCTCCACCCCTAAATATTTGCATATGTTGTTGTTCGAATTTGTTATTTTCTTGTAGCATTCATTGGATATCACACATTTGGGATTATCGTTGATGACAATATTCTTCTTTCACTTGAAAAGTCCAACCGACTTGTTGCAATGGCTAACATGTTCATTGTTGATCATGTATTGGAAATTATCGGGTAAATCTTTTTTTTTTCGAAAAGTTCCTACTCCGATTTATTCAACGAGTTATATTTTATCTTGTTTATTCATCTTTAGTTTTTGAAAAACTCATGTATATGTCATGCAGGTGTTTGACATAAAAGAAACTTGCGGTGTAAGCAAGGCACGA